AGAGAGAGAGAGAGAGAGAGAGAGAGAGAGAGAGAGAGAGAGTTGCAAATATATCTAGCAATTGTCCTTTTTGGAACTTAACGAAATAACTAAAGATGTATAGTTCAGGATTTTCATCAAAGCATTATATTTAGAAAATTGGAAACAAACTGTCCTTAACTCCAGTTCCAGGGTAATCTGAAGCCCTCTTCTGACCTCCCCAGCACTACATGACACGGGTGCACTCACACACATGCATGTGTATTGCCTGCATGTGTATAAGTGCACCCGTGTCATGCAAAATGCCCGTCGAGATCAGAAGAGGGCTTCAGATTACCCTGGAACTGGAGTTAAGGACAGTTTGTAACCACCATGTGGGTGCTGGGAATCCAATCCCGGTTCTCTGCAAGAGCAGGCAGCACTCTTAACCACTGAGCCATCTCTCCAGCCCCATAAAAAAAAATTTAAAGTAAAAATACTTTTTTAAAAATAAAAGGCTAAAAGGAAAAGGGAAGAAGGTTTAGCCCTCTGTGTGTGCTGGGATTCGCACCCAGGACTTCTGCAAGAACAACCAGTGTTCTTAACCGCTGAGCCATTTCTCCAGCCCATAAAATATTTTTTTAAAAAAGACACATACATGGGCCAGGCATGATGGCACATGCCTTCAATCCCAGCACTGGGGAGGCAAAGGCAGGCAGATTTCAAGGATAGCAGAGATCAAGGATAGCCTGGTCTTCACAGCAAGTTCTGAGCCAGCTGTGGCTACATAGAGATCCTGTCTCAAAAAAAAAAAAAAAAAAAAAAAAAAGAATACACTGCTATACAACAATTAGCTATCTACAGATTGCAAAATCAGAAACAACTTTGTTCTTTTTGTTTTCCCATATTTTCTACAATATTAGGAAAAACTAATTAAAACAGTCATTATATAATATTTACGAAACTCAAATTGTTTGTGTTTCAGTTTAATCAAAGACTGGGTTATTAGAACAAAAAATAATGTGTATATAATAGTTTGGAGCTTTTCCCAAAACATTCTGACCATTCTATAGGAAATACGGGGGCTAAAGAGATGGCCCAGTGGTCAGGAGCACCTGCTGTTCTTGCAGAGGACCTGGGTTAGAGCCCCAGAACCTACATGGCAGCTAACAACTGTCTGTTCCCCAGTTCCAAGGGATTCTGACGCCCTCTTCTGATCTCCAAGGGCACTGCATGACACGGGTGCACTTACATACATGCAGGCAATACACTCATACACATAAAATAAAAAATAACAAATACAATTTTTTAAAAGATACCATAGAACATGTCCAAAATGTCTATTTGCAAAATGTTATTCGATAATTAAAAGTGAAATATACTTTGATTTAGTTACCTATCCAGGGCTTCCTTGAAATATTTTCTCTGGACATCAAACTGAAAGACTGTACGTTCACAATCAGTTGAGGCATTATCGCTACCCCCATGTTTCTTCAGGAAAGCATCAAATCCATTCTCATCTGGATATTTCAAGCTACCCATGAATACCACTAAATGAAAAGAACAGATAGTCACACAACAAAAAGATGTAGACAACATTTTTATTATCAAAGATGAATTTTTCATATGCACAGAAAATATACAACACAAGAACAATGGTTATCTGGCTAATACTTAGCACATACACTGGCTTTGCACATTCTATAATACTCATATATTACTTTGAATACAAAGAAAAACCAAACATTTCATTTTTAAAGAAAGACAAATAATTTGCTTACAAAAAGGTTAAAACTTAAACATAAGCACATATGCAGATTAACCACTACTATAAAAAGTTATCAGATAAGAAATTTACTTTCAAATAGCTTAGAATATTAAAATATAAAAAATGAGTAATTCAGAAAAGCAAATATGTATGTAAACATTTGCAACTGTGTAACATCCACATAGGTTTTATTCAGATATACTCATAATTAAACCGATAGTTCCCTTTTAGGGTATATTAATCACGCCTTCTCATTATCTGTATTTTTGATGCTCTGCTTTCACAGGGTATTTATTAACCCTGAAGCCAACTGCTGCAACCAGGGATACTAGAGAATGGCAACTGTCTCTTGACCTGTTCACTGTACCATACCTGAAACAATACCTATATTAAAATGGGTTTGGTGCTGGGGAGATGGCTTAACAGTTAAGCATAAAAGCTAGAGTTCAGATCCCAACAACCCATGAAAAATGCTGGGTAGGTGTGGTAGCCTACTGACAATTCCAGCCTCAAAAGGCAGAGATAGGGGACCCCCAGACCCCAGAGCAAACTGGCTAGTGAGACTAGCCATATTGGCAAGCTCTGGGTTTGATTACAAGACCTTGCCTCAATAAATTAAGGTGGAAGATAGAGGATGATGCTGAACATCAACCTCCATGTGCTCATGCACTTATCCATACACACGTGTTCACACACATGCATACCACACACACACACAAAAACATGGAAAAAGAAAAAAGGTTTTCATTAAGATCCTCAATACAAGCATAGAAATTAAAGGTCTTTCCCTATTAGCATTTTCTTCTTAGCTTTTTCTCTTGTTAAATGTATTTCACTTAACAAATTACTAATCTAATCTTGAAATCCATTTCAATTCATACAAAAACTTTTTTTGTTTTTTGTTGTTGTTTTGGTTTGGTTTTGGTTTTTTTGAGACAGGGTCTCCCTGTGGCTCCAGCTGGCCTGAAATTCGCTATGTAGACCAGGCTGGCAGAAATCCATCTGCCCCTGTCTCCCTAAGTGGTGGGATTAAAGGCGTGCACCACCACACCTGGCAATTCACACAAATTTAAAGGGAAAAAGAAAATCACACTGGGGAATGATATTTTACAAGATCTTACTGTGCTCCAAAAAGTGTGCCAGCCCAGGCAGGTCATCTGGATCAGCAAAACTCCCAACTCCAACACACAGAGCCGCTGCAGACTGGAGTAAGTAGAACACATACAAATAGTTGAGTCAATCCTAAAGTAGTTATCAGCATTTGAAGGATTCATTTGGAGGAGTAAATTTTCCAACAGAAACTAGAAAAATTCTTTCCCTGGGAATCAGGAGGAGCAGCAAAGTGAAACTCACCAGAACTGTGTCAGTTTCACCCTGCTGCTCCTCCTCTTGCCATCCTGCCAAATGCTCAACAGGTGCAGACCTAAGGGAAAAAGCAGAAACAGACAGAAAAAAGGGAAGAAGCCAGCCACCCAAATCATTTCATGTTGCTGCACCAGAATTCTGAACCAAGTGTGTTCCCTGAATTATTAGAGTTTGGAAATCTACAGAACTAACATGTGCATATAGAATAAACATCTCTAAGCAATTAAAGAACTTTATGTTGTTCAGTAACTCAGTTACAAAATGTGAAACTTTTCAGTATGTTACTCTGAAAGCTTTATTTTTTAAAATAAGGGGTAAAATAACTGTAGAAAAATATTTAACAAGAATAGTAAATAAGTGATTAAAAGATAAAATCTTTAGCTATTTAAAAAAACTACAGAACTAGACTTTAAAGAGGCTTTTTAGTTCTTCATTTTGTATTAAATATAGACATATATATTATACATTACTTATCAATATACTTTTGCCAAATTCCTTGGGGAAATCAATTTTTAATAAAATGCCCAAAAGGTACACACAAAACTCCACATTTAAAATGATTGGGTCACACTATTGCCTCACTAGTTAAGAGAGATTTTTCTCAAGCAGAAGAAATGGTCAATTTGAAAATTAAGTGTCAATTTTAAAGAGCTAATCCATCTGATGAAACAGATTGTTTTGATCAAGTTATCCTCTTAAAAAATAGCCATGTACCTGACATACAAGCCAAGTTTGTGTCAGAAAACAAGTTTGTCTTTAGAAGAACCAAACAGCCTCATTGATGCTCCAAGTCCATTTTTGAAGACTTAGGCACATTAGTTCATTTAAAACACGAAAAAATATCCACTTCTTCAAACCACAGTCTAACCTGTTCTGTGATGTTTAACAGATGCCTAACCTGCTTTCAGCTCCAACTACCCCATAAAGATTTCTTGTCTGGACCAGCAGGGTTGAAGATATTTTTGAATAAGTTGACTTAAACCACAGTCTATCAGTCAGCTTTGACCACAGCAAAAACAGGTTCTGCGACTGCTAGAAAAGAAATTCATACTTGAGAATTTTCTACCCAAGAAATTCATACTTGAGAATTGAGTTATAAAACTCAAAGTTATGAACAAATCATAATTTAATATATATCATACTTAAATTTCAATCTTGTTAATTTATTAACTTTTCAGATCAAGAACAACTTTTGGGAGAAGGAAACAATTAGATAAAGGCTCTCCAAAAGCTAATAGATTGTTTTTCTTCCTATTCCATTTATTAATGAGAACTATTTACCTTAAACAAGGCTCACATTTCACAAATGAAAATTAAATCCTGAAATCACTTCAAAACCTATACAATTCTCAAGCCACCTCTTATCTAAACTAACTGAATTTTCCCTTTCCAGGCACATAGCCACACAATATAAACCATCTCCCATTACTGCAATCATAGAATCATTTCTTTCACTAGGATGTCCACTGCTTCAGAACCAAAATGATTTGCTCTCTTCAAACCATAACTATTTTATCAATTAACAGAAAATAATATAAAGTCCAGGGGCTGGAAAGATGCTGAGCAGCTAAGGGCACTGGCTGCTCTTGCAGAGGACCCAAGTTCGATTCCAAGCACCTACATGGCAGCTAACACTCAGTTCCAGGAGCATCTGACACCCTCTTCTGGCCTCCATGGGTACATTTACATACATGCGCATAAAACACTCATTCACATTTACCAAGTAGAATATATATTCATTTTTTTCACTGTTTTGAGTTTACCTCTAAAGTTTTCCAAGCTAATACCACTTGGCCTACTCTGCTACCTACACACACACACACACACACACACACACACAAAAATAAATAAATAAATAAATAAATAAGCAACCAGCCATCTCTCAAAATCTACATAGAAAGGAGTAAAAAGCTTCTTAAAACACGACTTAATCCCAAAAATATCTGGTGAAAAAATGGGTACAACATTTCTTTTAAAAAAGTTTTTTTTTTCTCATGAAGAATGATTATTAATTCATTTAAAAGAATTATTGAGCCAGGTGTGATAGTACATGCCTTTAATATCAGCACTCAGGAGGCAGAGGCAGGTTGATCTCTGTGAGAGCCATGCCGGTCTGGTCTACATAGCAGGTTCCAGACCAGCTGGGACTACAGGAAGACCGTGTCTCAAAAATTAAAAAGTAAAAAATAAAAAAAAATTATTGCACTTGGGAGGCAGAAGTAGGCAGATTTCTGTGAGTTCAAGGCCAGCCTGGTCTACACAGTAAGTTCCAGGACAGCTGGGGCTACAGGGAGACCCTGTCTCAAAAAGACCAATAAATTAATTAATTAATTAAATAAATAAATAAATAAATAATTGAAGCCAGGAGCAATGGGACATGCCTACCTATTGTCCTAGCTACTGGCAGGATAGCTTGAACCTAGGATTTTGAGACCAACCTGATTCCCATCTCAAAAAAAAAAAAAAAAGCTAGGCATGATAGGGCATATCTATACTCAGTATTCCATTAAGTCCAGTGCTCAGGAAGCTAAAGCAGGAAGACAGAGAGTTCAAGTCTAGACTAAGTTAAGTAGCAAGACCTGGTCTCATATAATCATTATTACTTATAACACATTTTCAAATCTTTTTTTAAACTAGAAATTGAATCTTTTTTATTATTTATTTGCGTGTGTGTGTGTGTGTATGTGATGTATGTGAGAGTGCAGATGTGCATAAGTGGGTCAGAGGACAGCTTTCAGGAGTCTAACTCAGGTCATCAAGCTTGTGTAGCAAGCATCTTTACATGCCGAGTCATCTCACCAGTCCCAGAGGCTGACTACTTTCAGGTATTCCTGTGAGATCTAAATTAACAATCTAACTATAAATTCTGTCTTTAAGACTGTACCATGTTGATGTACTGATTCAAGAAACTAACTTTAAGTCAGGCATGATGGTGCATGGCTGTAATCCTAGTAGTTAGGAAGTAGAGGCATGAGGATCAAGTCATCCCAGCTACACAGAGATTTAGAGGCCAGCCTGGGCTACATCAGACCTATCTCAAAAACCAAAAGGAAAAAGGAAGAAAGAAACTACTATAATGTCTTCAAAATGTTATCCTCTAGATTCCCAACTGCAAAATGAAGACATTCTTCAAACAGTACCCATATACCTAGCTGGGTGTGGTGGCACATGCCTTTAGTCCTAGCACTGGGGAGGCAGAGACAGGCAGATCTCTGTGAGTTCGAGGCCAGCCTGGTCTACATAATAAGTTCCAGATCAGCTGGAGCTACAGGGAGACCCTGTCTCAAAAAGACAAAAAAAAGAAAAAAAAAATCACTAAAAGAATTTGAACTCCCTATTGTAGGCTGGCCTTGAATTCAGAGATCAGCCTGCCTCCTGAGTGCTGGGATTAAAGGTGTGCACCACTATGATACTTTCTCATTAAAAAAAAAAAAAAAAAAAATCAAACTCAATTCTCTAGATAGAAATTACCTATGTAACAACTCTTAGAACGCTAGCCTTGGATGACGGTTTTTGTTTTGTTTTGTTTTGTTTTTGAGACAGGGTTTCCCTGTAGCCCCAGCTGACCTGGAACTTGCTATGTAGACCAGTCTGGCCTTGATCTCAGAGATCCCCCTGCTTCTGCCTCTCGAGTGCTGAGATTAAAGAGGTGCACCATCACACCCGGCTTCCAGTGAAGATTTTATACTGGCCTGTTTTCTTTTCCATCTCTCTAAGGATGACAGACTCGCTTATTCCTTTGTCTTAAGGCTAAAAATTATTCAGATTCTCACATCCTGACATTTTTTTAAAGCATACAATGTGTATAAATACATATAAATTCAAATATTGCTATCTTTTTACCCCTAAGAGGTATTGGGTGAGTTCTGCACTTTTTAAAAAAAATTTTCCCTATTAGTCCCTATAGTTCAATATTTATTGCTTTTATAATCAGAGCAAAATGTTTTCAAAACATAATCCTTACACAGAATAGAACTTTACTAAAAATAAAGTTATATACTTCCTTTTTGATATTAAAAAAATAAAGCATGAAGAAAAAATAAAGCAAGAGTTCAACAATTATCCGAGTTACCAAACGAGAAAGACAGCAGATAGGACTCACACCTGTTTTTCAGTGTTTTTTTTCCTAGTTTCTGCCCTCTCTTCCAATTCTTCCAATTCATTATCCTCAGTATCAAGATCATCATCATCATGTTCATCATCATCAAATTCATCTTCATCATCAAAACCCTCTTCATCATCATCCTCTATCTCAGCTCCAGAATCTTCATCATCGTCATCCTCCTCCTCCTCTTCCTCCTCCTCCTCCTCTTCCTCCTCCTCATCTGTTGTATTTCCTGTTTTACCATCCACATTACTTAGATCTGAAATCAAAAGTGCCTGCAAGCCATTCTGTAATTTGATGTATCTGGAAAAAAAAAATCACAAAATATCTTTTTATTCAGCTCTTCTAAGAAGAATCTAAGTGGGGCTAGAGAGATGGCTCAGCAGTTAAAAGCACACATGTCCTATTCTTCCAGAGCACCTGAGTTTGGGTCCCAGGACCATATTAGGCAGATCACAACCACCTGTAGCTCTAGAGGGTCTGACACCTTCTTCTGGCCTCTGTGGGCACATGCACTCATATATACACATGATTAAAAATTTCTTGTGTGTGTGTGTGTGTGTGTGTGTGTGTGTACACATATACATACAAAAAACCAACACTACAAAAGTACTCCCACTTACCTGAAGTTTTGGTTACTCATAGTCAACCATGGTCCAAGCCATACTAATTAATACATTTTTTAATTGGGCATCATTCCATCCAGTCCAGGGGCATAAATAAAGATTTCATAAAAATAATAATGATTATCTGTCTGGGATATCCATGCCATATACACTGTCTGCCCATTAACCACTGTTAAGGTTATCAGATGGGCCATTATGGTATCATAGTGTTTATGTTCAAAAGTAACTTTTAATTTAACAATGGCCTCCAAAGCTCAAGACAGGTGATGCTGTTAATTTGGCAATGCCAAAGAGAAGTCATAAGTATTTCCTTTAAGTGGAAAGGTAAAAGTTCTCAAATGAATCTTTTTAAAAAAATGTATATGCCGAAGTAGCCCAAGATCTACAGAAGGAACAAATATATCCATGAAATTACTATCTCAAACCACCAAAGCTACTCTTATTTCACTAAAAGTAAAGATTCAAAAAAGCATCGAATATGTCTATGAGTAATATGCATAGGGTTTGGTATTACTCCTGATTTCAAGTATCCATTAGGGGACTTTGGATTGAATCCTCCAGAATCAGGAAAGACCAATGCCAACTGGTTGATCTGAGTAAGGAACCTCAAAAGCAAATCAGTTTCTTTTTTGTTTCTGTTTTTGTTGTTGATTGTTTTTTGATAGGGTCCTAGTCACAGCCCACCTGGAATTAATGATGTGAACCAGGGTGGCCTTGATCTCATAGCGATCCACCTGCCTCTGCCTCCAGAGGACTGGGATTAAAGACTCACTAATCAGTTTCCTAATAGCTGGAAGGAAATGAAGGGATACACTTTACTGTCTTGCTTATACTGTTTGAGTTCTTAATCATAAAAATCTATTTATATATTCAAAAGGCAGGTGGTAGGGCTAGGGCTGGTGTTCGGTGGTAGTGCTATAGTGCTTGCCTCTATGTGAAACAGCCAGGTGCTGTAGTAGCTCAGCCTGCTGTCCCAGGACTGGGACAGAAAGATCATTAGTGCCTAAAAATTGGGAAATTAAGCATGCAACCCACCTCTTCCTATTTCCTTAGAAGCAAACATTCTACCATAACAGAAGACAATCTAGAAAAACACCTCTCAATATTCAAAGCAGTCATGCCGGCAATAAGTATCAAAATCACATAAATTTAAAGCTTATTGATTTGCTTTGCTAAAATGCATTTGATATTACATGAGTTTCCAAAGCTGTTTTAGTAGACTGAAGAAACGGCTCTATCTCTTAGAAAACTTAATCCCACAGAACTATAGCCCTGTAGGAAAATGATTATTTAGTAAAACTACTGTGGCAATTTGATGACCAAGTGTCTTATCATAGCCTGCTCCCATTTATACCAAATTTTTTATGGACTTATTCAATAAGCATCTTCTATTTAACAAAGTGTGACATTTATGCTGCATTAGGAAAAAAAAGCATAAAACCACAATCCTCACCATCAAGTACACACTGTTTAGTAAGAGAGTTTGAGCTCATCAAACCAGGAATGAAAGAGGTAAACATAGAATGTTCCTGAAAGAAGGAAGCTATCAGGGAAGGCCTCTGAAACACAAGCACTGAAGTTGAAAAGAGTTAAGCAGAGGTCTGATCTCCAGAATGCCACAGCTGGACTTGGAGGCATGTGAGAAGGGAGTAGAAGGTTAGGAGAGTCCCAGAAGCTCCTGGGCCAGTAAGCCTGGCAGCAAGAGACTCTGAAGCAAAGTGGAAGGCATGGTCCAGCACCCAAAGTGGTCTGACCTCCACACATGCACACCCACACTTACACACATAAATGAACACACACACAGAGTTAAGAAGAAACTAGAAATGCATAATATTAAAGTGAGATGAAGAAAGAAGCCTCTAGCTCAAGTCTCTTTACTCAAATAGTATATTTTCTCTGAAATATTTTTATGTCCATATCAAAAATATTTAAACAATAGAAAAAATTTTGTGATTATTTTTCTTTTGTTTGTACTTGGGAATAAAATCATAGAAGTTGGGAAGCAGAAATGGGCACTGTTAACAGACCATAAATTTTAGAAAATATACAAATCTGGTCAAATTAATGGAGAAAACAAAACAGAAAAACCACAGAGCTAAATAAATGTGATAACATACTGATTCTTCTCCCAAAAAATAAAGCCTGGAAAATGCCTAAGTTTCAGATCAATTAAAGAAGAAAAAAAAAGGGGGGGGGTGGCTGGTTAGATGGCTCAGCAGTTAAGAGCATTGACTGCAGAGGACCCAAGTTCGAGTCCCAGCACCCACATGGCAGCTAACAACCATCCACAACTCCAGTTCTAGGGGATCCAATGCCCTCTTCTGACCTCTGCAGGCACTGTACAACACAGATGCACTTACATACATGCAGGCAATACACTCATACACATAAAATAGGAATAATAAATTAAAAAAAAAAGAATACAGAAAGGCTCCTGATATTATGCTCAATTACTAATCAATCTGGAAAAAACTCAAATGCCTACTGTGCTGGATAGCTTCAGTTGTCAACTTGACATATCTGAGAAGAAGGAACTGCAATTGGGGAATCTCCTCTATCAGATCAGTCTATGGGCATGTCTGTAAGGCATTTTCTTGATTGTTGAATAATGTGGGAGGGCCCAGAGGGCCCACCCCACCCCACTGTGGGTGGTGCCACCCCTGGCCAAGTAGTCCTAGAGTTGTATAAGAAAACAGGCCAGAGGAACAAGCCAGTAAGCAGCATTCCTCCATGGTCTGTGCTCCAGTTCCTACCTCCAGGCTCCTGCTGAAATAAACCTCTTCCTCTCCATGTTGGTTTTGGTCAAGGTGTTTGTCACAGCAATAGAAAGCAAACTAGGGCATCTATTGACAACAGAAGGATAAACTTTGGTATGTTCATACAACAGTTCCCCTACAGTGGAATAATATAAAACAGGGAAACACATAATCTAGCAACATCCTACAAAACTGGTTAATCTTCAAGGCATAATAAGCAAAAACAGCAAATTGCAGAAGACAACATGTCACATAAATGTCATTCATACAAGGTCAAAAAATAAGCAAAAGCAAACAACGTTTAGGCATACACTTGCATGGGATAAAACTTAAAAGTTTTACCAAGCAAAACAATAGAATGATGGACCAAAAACTTTAGAAGAGTTGGAATAGGAAGGCAACCTAGAAGAAAACAGAGGAACAGAAAAAGAAAAACAAGTGAATCCTAGTTCTTGGGCCCAGAGAAAAAGAGCAGCTGAGAAGGCTCCATCTGAGGGCAGCCATCTGCAAGGCAGTCTGTGCTACAATGTACCATTTTCAGAACTGTGCCCCCTGAACACACTATAGAACATCAATTACTAGTCTCCTCTCTTTTTTTGTTGTTAAAACTTTGGTTTTTTAATTATTTTATGTATATGAATGTATTGCCTGCATGTATGTAAGTGCATTCATGTCGTGCAATGCCCATGGAGGTCAGGGGAGGGCATCAGATCCCCCCCAGAACTGGTTGTTAGCTGCGGTGTGGATACTGAGATTCAAACCCAGGTCTCCTGCATGAGTATTCAGTGCTATTAACTGTTGAACTCTCTCTCCAACCCCCAATCTCTAGTCTCTTTAATCTCTAGTCTCTCTAGTCTCTTCAAACTAGTTCACACTGTGGCTACTTTTTTTTTTTATTTTGTAACTTTGCTACATTTGAATGTTAAAGAGTAAAACTTTTCTTTTTCTTCCTAAATCCCCTATCTCTGGCAAATACCGCACATTTGAGAAATACTTGAATAAACAAAATAATCTTAATAGACAAGTGTGGTGGTACATGTCTGTAACCCTAGTGCTAGGGAGGGAGAGGTGGAGATCCTGAACTCTGGGATACATAATGAAAGAAACAATGTCTCAAAGTTTTCTCTCATCATGTGTCAACAGTATCAATTCAATTCAGTTGTCTACTCTAGTAGTAACTGCTAAGTTTGAAGTGACTGGACAAATTAGCCTCTATGAATATTGTATATAGAAAAACTATAGAAAAAGAAATGAATGCAGTATAACTTAAAGTAGAATGCTAATAATCATCACCGAAGTCAGGAAAACTACTTGTGAAGCAGAAGAGGGCTCAACTGGACAACGTACAAAGCTTCCAAAATATGAGATATTTCAAAAGCTTATGCTTAATGATTCTTATTAATCATGTCTAAATCTATCATGTGTTGACTGAACTAGTAGTATCATTTGTCCTGCTAGACATCATCAGTCCCATGGGGTTTTAGCAGAAATAGAAGGTGAAGATCTTGACTTGTCCTGACAAGAGAGGTATTCAATAGCATAGCAGTAGAGGAAAAAAGTATTGTCATTTTTCAGCTTAGCACCAAGACTTTTTTTTTCTCAACAGGAAAAATAACCTTCAACTATTATTACTGAGCACCAGATGGCTTTAAGAATTAGCTGCAGGGGCTGAAGAGCTGACTCAGTGGTTAAGAGCACTGGCTTCTTTTGTAGAGGACCTGGGTTCAGTTCCCAGCACCCACATGACAGCTAACAACTGTCCATAAATTCAGCTTCAGGGGATCAGACACCCTCTTCTAACCTCAGTGAGCACTGCACAACACGGGTACCCATACATACATGCAGGCAGTACACTCATGAACATAAAATAAAAATAATAAAGGTTTATAAAAAAATTATCAAATTTTAACAGAAGCTAATT